GAGAAGGCATTCATGGCTCGTACCTTCACCTTCAACAGCCCTTCAGCAAAATACTTTTTAGTTAAAAGCATTGAATATATGGTTTATTGCTTTCATTTAACTCTCATCCTACCAACATGTTGATCAAACAAGGACTACTAACTGGGGACAACAATTATAAGAAACAACCACCATAGCATAATATTAATTCTTTTTTTTCAAAGCGTTAGCAATAATGAAGTTAATGTGATCCAAGCAGTTTCAATTGGATACTTTTAACTTCCTCGATCCCATGAAAATGCACTAATAAAACAGAAACAGAAAACATTGATATCAAGTCATTAGAAACAAGTTAATTGACGGAGTCATTGAAAGTTGGAATGAAAGAATAAATCAGCTGTAAGATATGAACAAATATATAGTCATAGGTTAATTATCATACAGCTGATTTATACATGCTGTACTGTAAATAGCATCTACCTTCAAGTGGGCTGGTGAACGTATAAGCTTGTAAGCTGCCATTGAGCATGTCTCTTGTCTCGGAGAGCGTGTCCCTGGCTCCAGTCAGAGTGAAGAGCAGCTCCACAGGGGCTCCTCGCTCCACCGAAACACCAATGATGAGATCAGTAGAGTCAGGACATTCGTCGTCCTCTGCTATCACCGAGGCCTCCAGGCCTTCAATGGGCTCCAGCAGACACAGCCCCAGATCAGTGGTCAGTGCGTGGGCTGTGACCCTGTTAGAGGCAGTCAGAGTCAGGTTGTGGCAGCCCGGTCCAAGCTTCTCCACCAAACCTGCACTCAGCGTCATGTTGTGGGGTTCCATCCCTCTCTCCGCAGACGAGTTTGCAACCAGATGGCCTTCATGTTGGATTGAGTAGGAAACATTTGTACCTATTTACAGGGGGAAAAGGGGATCAATTTATTCTGCATTCTGGTGATTTGTCAGAGCATTTATCCCCTACACAGTGTTAGACAGACTCACCCGCTGTCACTATCACCTGGATCTTCACAGGCCTGCCATTGAGAGCGTTGCATTTAGTGCCATCTGTTGACATATTTCTGCTAAAGCACTTAATGACACCCACATCTTTAACAGGCTCCTGAATGGTTATCGCTTTTTGAGCTGTAACACGGTAATCTTTGGTAGTGCACTCCACAACGACCATGAAAACACCAGGTTGGTTGAATGTATGCATCACAGTGCTCTCCATCCTACAAGACAGGTAAAGCACAAGCACAAATACAGTTAAATGCACCTATAAAGTTAATGAATAAAAATATTGAATATCTTTTTATTTATATTTATCTGGTTCAATGCAAGTCTTGCTCACTCTTCTGGGCTGTATGGATCAATATTGTGGCCATCTCCAGCATTCAGTGTGCATGTGAGGTTTCCCTGAAAAGGATGAAGGAGCCACTTCACAGTGATGGGGACATTATCAAAGACGGCCGCCAGCTTGCTCAACAACAAGTGAAGCCCTGAGAGAAAATCACATTGTTAAATTGTACCATGAAACATTGCTTCAGAAAAGTGTGTCCAAATATCACAAGCCTGACATTTTAACCACTAGTATGGGGTCAACACCTGTTGTTTCAGTAAAACAGCGCAGGACACTTACATTGACTCTGCTAAAAACACCAGCGAGGCAATTATTTGAAATGTATTGGTAGGTTATATGGCTAAAGCTAGGCTTATGTTATTACATTTGCTCCTTCTAATAATGATCATAAGTCATAGTTAAGAGATATAAAGTGTAGTCTTTGTATAGTAGACGTAAAATCTGACCATGTTTGCAGGTGTACTCTAAAGACAGGTAACTTCCCAGCGCAGGACATGGTTCACCAAAAGAGCTCAGATCCACTGGAACCTGGCACGCCTGCAGTCCTTGGCAATTAGCTGGAATGACACATAAATTAATGAAATGAAATTGTTTTGCAGATTATCTTTCAATCATACTTATTTAGAGGGCTTGGAAATATTGTTTTGGTAGGTAAGCATGACACTTGTAATGTTCATCCTATTAAATGTAAATAAACATACATGTGTAGTGATGGATTTACAACAGTGAAAGACACCCATTTTTTGCATCGTAATTGCATGAAGTCCTCCAGCATAAGTAATGCTAGACTGATATAAATCTGAATGTAAATATACTTTAAAGTCCATGTTTTCAGCGCCTAGGGGGGGATTTGCCTAATATCTTTTCTCTTGAGTGTGATCCTTTAGTCTGTACTCACACGGCAATGATCGCTTTTGTGTTTGACGCAAAACATGAAACCAAAACATAATTTATGGGGATTTTCTTATAGCCGCTTTAACAAAGCCCAAAATGTTCCCAAAGCTGCCTGCCATCACAGCTGATGTGTTTGCAGAGCAGAAAAAAAGGACAGTTCCCACATTTATAATTCATGTTAACGAAAATAAAAACTTTTATGTCATTGATAATACCTTTTACAGAATCCGTCATATCTATCCAGCTGCACTCTTCCTGGGAGGATGTGGGTGAGGCAGCAGGGTTTAATCGGCAGTAGTGAATTGTTTTTCGACCATAGAAGCTGTCATCTATCTCTACAAGATGACCCGAACCACATTGTACTGTTGCATTCTGTCCATCACAGGCAATAGATCTCCCAGAATCTAAAGAAAGAAAGAAAGAAGGCATTTTAAGGGAGCAAACAAAACATGAGTATAATACTATTTGTTGATTTACTTATGATTGTATACCAAACTGGCAAATGAAGTTGAGTTCCTGGCTGCAGTTTCCTGCCGCTTCCCACTGAAAACCTGACTGTTTTAGGATATGTCCACAGGCTGCGTCTGCATCTGGCATGTTCACCCAGTTACTATAGCTGACATCTGAGCCATCCAACCAGGCAAGGGAACCTGGGAAAGAAAGAAAATACCATTTGATTTGATAAAGAAACTATTTTTAATTTAGCTATTTAGGCTCAAATGCTGTAAAATAGGTTATCCCCAAAGATGTTTAACACAAGGTTGTTTCCCTTATCTGTACCTATTGTTAAGGTAATTGTTACGATGCAATTTAGGGATCGTAAAACAACCAAGCAATAGATTGAGCCGTTGACAGGATGAATAAGGGGGAAAGGATATAAAGACACATTTGTAAATCAGACCACTTGACAGGCAGCCTTTTGAAACGTTTAAATGAATGACGAACATATCTTAGTACACCAGCTGCAGGAGGGAGATATCAGAATGTGTCTTCTAACAAATGTCAGTAAACAAACACATTACAGATCTATACAATGGACATGCCAGCTGACCAATGAGATAGCAGCAGAGGTGGTAATCTTCATTACTGACATTATTCGATACAATCATTGATCACAGGGATTCAAATGTGTTGTTCAGTGACAACAAGTATTTATAAATAGTAGTTAGAGAAACTGAAGAGTTAAAAAAAAAAAAAAAATGTATATAAAAAATGTATATAATGCCATTAGAAGCCATGCAGTGCCAACGTTTGTCCCCCCTCACTCCCTAATGCCCTCTCACCATCGGTGGCAGCAGAGTCGATCGTGAGGTTTGGAGCGGCAGGTGCCAACCCGAGCCACCATTCCTTCTCCGGGTCCAGGTGCTTCTGGAGGAACTGCTGGGTTTCATCATTTAGGATGAAGGCTAGGTGTCCTCCGCCTCGCTCACACCACCCCTGGGAGCTGAGGAAGGATCGCTGCATACCCACAAACTCATAGCATGAGCCGTCAAAGCCCTCCTGGGATTCTGGGCAGGATAGAGCTTCTCTATCCTCCTGAGCATAGCAAGTGATGAAGAGTAGCATTGAAGTCAGAGTGGGGAAACTGGTGCTTTCCATCTCTGCAGCCTTGCACTGCTCAGACTCGTTGGCAACATCATGGCTTTAAAGGGTACTGACGTCCCCAGTTGGCACTTTGGGATGATTTGTGACATTACAATTGCTTCCTTACTGGCTGTCCAGCTTTGTGATGCTCCCATTATTCTTGTGTGTAAACAAGGCTCAGACCTGTATTGAAAGGGGGCCAAAGCTCCCTGTCAACAGTCACTGATTACTTCTCTGCCTCCATTAATGTAGGGCTCCACAACCTGCAGAGGGAGATAAGCTTCTCTTTCATACCTGATCCTAACATGAAAATGTCAACCTGAAGTTTAAAGGAAGCCAGGGGTTTCAATAGCCTGATGTGTTCGTAGTGATGTGTAAAATGGTAAGGTATTAGCCTTAACTCTTACATGGTGTTAAATTATTAACTTAAACAAATATACATTAATGTAAATATAAACGTTATGAAGAATTCTCCTCTGTGGAAGATTAGTAGAGCATTTACATGGCAGACAGAAACAGATGTTATTAATAACAAAACAACAACTGCATTTGATTTAGGTATGCCAGCTGCAATGTTCTGGGACAGATGTTTTCCCAGAAGACATTTTGAAAAGAAATGGCAGGAAAAGCAAAGGTGTAAATGAACAAATATCATTGCTGATTTGACAACAGTTTCAGCTTCAGGGGCCTGTTGTTGTACCGTTATTCGCTTACCGGAAAAAAATTCCAACTGTGTTTTATCTCATATGATAACTGAAATTCTTTGCAGAGAAAGATCTACGTTTAAATTATTATAAAATTACGTTTTAATAGCCTACTAGCACCTTTGCCTCCAATGTGCTTATTTCAGAGATCATTAGATTCCATATAGCCTACACAATTGTAATTAGATTATTTATGAATATTTAGAGTTAACCTGAATATTTGTATATGAAATGTCAAGAATAACATTTCAATGTTATGCCTTTTAATGGCTCATAATGATACACCGTCTACGAAACAGAAAACTATTATGTGATTAGAAAGGATTAACATTTTCCAAAAAAAAAATTTTTTTAAAACAATAAACAATATAATATACATATCTTAGAGGGTTTTAATTTTAATGAAATGTTAGTGAGTCCAAATTAAATTAACGTGTATAATCAAACATCTCTGAGCATTTTTTTTGAAGGTTTTAGGTTTTAATCTCAAACCGACTCACCCGGATGTCTGACGTCATAATTGTGAGACGATGCTCTCTCCGACGAGGGCATGACTTTTTGAATAAGCACAGTAGATTGAATAAACGTCCCGGGATTATACTGACGCTATATCTTTACAATGTTGGCCCTTAAACGGAGCTTGAGCGGAACTATGCTCTCTGCTCTGCGGGTGTTTCACACTAACCAAGTAAATACACTTCTCTGCAGTTTAGACCTGTTATGCTAGCAGCAGAAAGCTAAAGTTGACGTAGCTCTTCGCTCACCGTCGTTTGTTCTCCTGCCTCCACAGGTTTTTGTTGTGTCCGGCCATGTGCAGCAGAGATGTGTTTCCACACAGACAGACGGAGAGGCCCGGATCGTTAACATACTGAAGGAGAAGTTTCCATCGGCCGCATCGCTTAAAGTTGTGGATATATCAGGTAAACAGACACCTGTCACGTGACTGGCTGCACGTTTCTGCCTGAACCCTATTCCAGATGTTCAAGTCAATTTTTTTAGACATGTGTACAACATACTGAAATTAAAGTGTTGTTTGTGTGATATTGTGCTGTTTTTAGGTGGTTGTGGGGCCATGTATGAGATCCATATAGAGTCGAGTGAGTTTAAAGGAAAAAGGACCATCCAACAACACAAATTAGTCAATGAGGTAAATCATAAAAAATAACATCAGCCCTTGTGACATATTATGCAGTCCGATATTTGTTGTATCTTTGACTCTTGTCCATATCTGTCTGTCAAAAATGCCCTTGAAGTTCTCAAGATTATCCTTTGATGTTTATTGAAGTTTATACTTGTGGTTCCATGTTACTCATCAGCTGTTGTGTTTTGTTCTCCACAGGCCCTTAAGGAAGAGATTCAAGGAATGCATGGACTGCGAATATTCACTGATGTTCCAAAACATTAGAGAAAGTCCTTTCCACTGTTGACCTCTTCCTTTGTTCATCAACTGTATACCAAATGTACTATTTTAGAGGATATTGTGTAGTAAGTGAAATCTATAATAATGTTTAATGTGTGCAGGGAAGCAGAGGGGCACATATTAAGAATGTGACATTTGTAATATATCAGATTACACTAAATCATCCTTTTTTAAGATTGCTATCTTCTACTCTCAAGATAATATATAAAACTGGTGAATACTACAGAACGCACAAAACAACTTGATCAAATACTTGTAAGATGTGAAGTAATGTAGGTTTCTTTGTCTTCTCAGGGTTGATAATATTGATGGTGTGATGATAAGCATGGAAACAAGTATACATATAACCGTTCCAAGCATTAAAGAGTTAGGCTACTACAGACCCTTTTTTTAAGCAGTATTTTTCAATTTTAAATTGACAAAAACTGATCATTGAATTGTACATAGACATTGTATCCACACAACATAATAAAAGCAGCACCTTTCCTCCAAACACTTATTCCTTTTATTATATTTGCAAAAGTTATAGACGCTGCATACGATAATCAGACACATCTCTTTAAGCAGTAAACAAAGAAGTAAAACATGTAATGTTGGTGACCTCAAACAAAGTGTAATTGCACAGCTGCTCACAATGCAGTATCTCATATATTTGATATTTAATCAAATTGTTTTGTAATGCATTAATAACTATTTACCTTACAGTATTGAGAGCATCTTTGAAAAACCATGATAAGGATAAAATGTTTATCCTACATGTGCACAGGATTTTGACTATATCATGTATTAATGAGTTGCATTTAGTAAGTAATTTCTTACCAGATGAAGTTTTGTACACCCATTACCAGCAGATGGTGCTATTCATTCTTAAGTCTACTGCAAGCAAACACTACACAAGGATGTTGTGTATTCCAGATTCTTCAAATGGCAAATTGAAATTGATTTAATCATTATCTTTCTGACTTGAACGAAAGGAAAAAACTATTATTCCAAATCCAAATGTCCGCATAATTGAATTAAAGTGTAGACAGTGATATTTGAGGCACCACCGTGGATAACCCTCCTCACAGCGGCTGTCTGCGCACCACATCGCTCTGAAGCCCGAGGCGGAGCGGAGAGGCAGAGCAGCGGGTCTCCAACATGGCTAAAGAAGGAGCAGATATGACGGAGGAGACCCAGTTCATGATAGACACAAATCCGGGGAAAGAACCAGAACATGTGGAATCATCCGGCGATGCTAAAGAAATGAGAGCTGTGGTGCTGGCAGGTTTCGGAGGTCTTAACAAACTCAGGGTAACCAAGAAGGCAATGCCCGAGCCTCATGATGGTGAAGTGAAGATACGCGTCAAAGCATGGTAAATCTGAACCACTGATTTATTGTATATTGTACTGTATTAAGGATTTTAATAACCACGCTTCACAGAAATCCTGATAAGCGTGAAGACTGAATGCTATTGGAAAATGTCGCTGTCATGAAGCCACAGGTCTTTTCTAGTGGGTGGCTGTCTGGAGCACCATAGCAAGCAAACATCAAGCAAGCTTGTCAGTCAGACTTTAAATCATTGTTTAGGATTTGATAGCATAATAGCTGCCTTCACAAAGTATGAATTAGCTCATTACTGCAGAATATTACAGCTGGACTAATGTTAAGTGTTGGAAAATACAACGTTAGGAAATTGTTGTTTAATAGAGACTGCTGTTATCATAGGGAAATAGCCAGTGATTTATTGTTGATATTAATCATGAATTAAAGTACTGTGCATCCCTTAAAATCTCATATATCAGACTAAGTATTTGTAGTATTTATGGTATGATATATTAACTGTCAGTGGGCATGGTTTTCATTTAGCATTAGAGGGATTTCATCTCATCAAAAGGTACTTTTTATTATTTGTTGCAGTGGCCTGAATTTCCTGGATCTGATGGTACGTCAGGGGTCTATTGATAATCCTCCAAAACTCCCTATTGTCCCTGGGTTTGAATGCTCTGGGATAGTAGAGTCAGTAGGGGAAAACACAGCCGGATTTGAGGTTAGTGACATTAAGGATTCTATATGTAACGCTCTGATGTGTCAAATAACTATTCTGAGCTACCAAATCTGCCTCAACAAAACTAGGAACTCGTGTTGTAATGAGATGATAATGTGATACTAATTAAACAAATCTACAATATACTAACAATGGCCTGCCTATTGCACTCATGCTTGTTTCACATTAGTGTCAGCTTGTTATCCAGCTACTCTAACATGTTTCTTTCAGATAGGCGACAGAGTTATGGCATTTGTCAATTACAATGCCTGGGCAGAAGTGGTCTGCACGCCAGCGGATTTTGTCTACAAGATGCCAGAGGAAATGAGTTTTGCTGAGGCTGCTGCATTCTCCCTGAACTTTGTGGCGGCCTATATGATGCTCTTTGAGGTTGCTAATCTGCGAGAGGGGATGTCAGTGTTGGTCCACTCAGCGGGAGGTGGTGTAGTAAGTGCATTTTCTTTTATTGCTATTGCCCAGCAGCCATACAAAGTGGTTAGCCAACTCTCATTCTAACTGACAGCTTTATAAAAGTAGTTTGTGTACTGTTGTTCTTGATAACTGCTGCTGTGATGACGGTAATGACTGAAATATATGTTTGATCATTTAAACAACATCTTGTTATATCTAACTTTTAAAGCAGTAGTCATTGATTGTTTGTATTCGACACCACTTTATCTGATTTTCTATGATGATTGTTAATGGTGCACCTACTGTTTCCTTTTTGTGACCCTGGTATATTGAGAGTTAAACGCTGGTGTTCTCAGGCATTGATAAACTGTTTCCACTGTTTGTTATTTTCAGGGTCAAGCTGTGGCTCAGCTGTGCTCCACAGTGCCTAATGTCACTGTGTTTGGGATCGCCTCATGTTCCAAACACGCAGCCATCAGAGACTCGGTGACTCACCTCTTTGACAGAAATGTTGATTATATGCAAGAAGTACAAAAGTAAGCATTCAAAGTTGGTCCAAAGTATGATTATGATTTGAGGCTGAAGTGGTCTGTTTTAGTTTCCTCAGCGTGTATGCTTTGCAATATTAACTTGTTTATTTTAGAAATGAATTTATTCAGGCATGTTAGCTGTAGCATGGTTACATGGACCTCACTGAGCAGAGGGCTGCGCGAGGAGGCAGATGTTACCTGTTGCCTTATTTGGTCTTATGTGGCCGTGGTCCCCATGGCAACTCACGGCTCATCTGATAGATGAGCAGCATTGTGTTGGGCGTAGGTCTGCGCTGGCAATGTGGAACAACAGAGCCAATTAGGAACAAGCGTTGATGCCCTACACATTCCATTCACAACACAGCACGCTGTCAGCCAGCACTACAAATAAATCACCTTGTAGCAAACTCTGCCTGACATTTGATTTTATAGTAATATGCTGGTTTACTGCTATTTTTTTTCAATCTTCTTTTGAAGCTTTGGTTATTCAGAAAACTCCAAACCCATGCTGCATCCTGGTCATTTGCAGGAAATGTGTGGCTATTCTCTTTTCTATAACCAGGATACATGCATCATACATGAAACACACATTTTTTTATTTTGCTTAGGGATTAAAATACATTTTCAAGAGCACTAATTATTTCATGTGTTCTGCCTACACATCAACAGTGGTAGTGGATTAATATGCCTTTCATCTCCCTGGCCCACACATTCTTTTCAGGATCAAGAGCAAAGTATGATTAAATTAGTCTTTTTACAAAAGGCAAAAACCATGGCGATCACAAGACCTCCAAGCAGTTTAGCCAAGCAGGTGTCCAAGGCCACAAGGCAGAAAGGAGTTAACATGTATTTGATTCTTTATTATCTGTGCCTTTAATGAGTTTCATTATGGAAAGCTTGTTTGTCTGATTGCTTTTGTGTGCAATCAGTAAACCTTTTTGTAACATGATGATTGCAAGTTACTGATGAGGAGTGATGTGGGCATTACATAGCATTAAGTTCCTTATAAATAAATACAGTGGAGGCAGAGTCAACAACTGCCACCTATTCTCAGAGTAAAACTCCAGAGAATCAATACTCATGAGTTATGACTCCGTTATTGAATTAACCCTAAAACTGCTCCTGGGTATGACTCATAGGCTGAATAAATTAACAATTAGCGCAAACATTCCCATCAGTGTAACTGTATAAAGATGACCTCTGATTTTAACTTATCTCAATCAATCATCACCAAAATGGTTGGTTGATCAACCGTAAATTAACCTGCAAACATTTTAAGACTGCAATTCATTTTCATTACTGATGAATATTCTGTTTTTTTTTAAACATAGAATGACAGAGAATCATGTATAATATACCAATCAATATTTCCTATGGTGATGTCTTGTTTTGTATAGTCATCAATCCAAAGCCTGAAGATAATTCCGTTTTTTATTATATGATGTTAAGAAAAGCTTGACATGTGTTCATGTGAAAATCTAATGTTTTTATTTGGTTTATTAATTAATTAAACTGTTATCCTCAATATTGATTTCTCTAGATCTGGAAAACTGTTTTTTGCATACTTTTTTACATGTGATGTATAAAAATAAATGTAAAAACAACGTTTTATTTCATTTAGATCACGTTTTTCCCAGTTGACTTCCTCTTTACTTTGTTGTTAATCTTTTAGGATTTCTCCAGAGGGGGTGGACATCGTGTTGGACTGCCTCTGTGGGGAGAACACAGCGAAAGGCCTGACTCTGCTGAGGCCTTTGGGAACCTACATACTATATGGTGGGGGCCATACTTATAACAATACTATGATTTCCATTCAGTACTTTCAAAGTGTTAATATCTAAATTTGCAATGTGTTTGTTTGCAGTCTAAAATGTAGTACGCTTGCTAAAATAGTTTGACATTTTTGGAAACACATACAATTTCTTGTCAAGCAATATATCAGGGAGATTGATACTCTCACATCTGTTTATTAAAAAAGAAATTTGACACAGCTACCCTGGTGACAACAAGACATTAGGAAGTCTCTGATCCAGGCCAGATAGTAGCCAGGCACACAACCCTGGTGTAAAAGGTTGTTTGTTAAAGGTATACAGAGCCAGGCCAGTAGTTCTCCTCTGTTTCCAGTCTTTACACTAGGCTAATCTAACCATCTCCTGGCTGTAGCTTTTATTTTTAAAAAACAGACAAGAGGTTGATATTACTCTTCTTATCTGATTCTTAGAAAGAAACAATTAGGATCATTTTCATAATGTTGAACAATTCAAGTATTGCATAAATGAAATGTGTTTGCAACTGGATTAGGAGAGAGATAATGAAGCTCACGTGAAAATAATATTCTCATCTGTATCCTGCAAATGAAATGTAGTGCCTTTCACAGCTTCCATACTTACCAGGTCTCTGTTAATTACTTTAGTTTGTGTTAAGCTTCATGAATCAAGTAAAAGTATTGGAGGGATATTAATTATTTAGTTTAAGTGA